ACACACACACACACCGGAGTCGTCACAATTTGCGTTTTTGCATTTGCATGTATGCAAAAACCCATAAAAATGGATAAATTGCGGCCTTCTCGCAATAACACGTCTGCCTTCATGTGTGTTTACATCGCCACAAAAAATGACGTCCTGATTTTTCTTGTTTAACATTTGTATCGCTTGCTTCTTCAAACATAATCAGTGCGACAGTGTTTCACTGCCCCATGTTTCTTTCAGCTGTTATTGTTATCAGTACCAACTATTCCGTAAGCACAACCTTAAGTTCCTCGACGACAATATCTCTCTCATCCAAATTACCAATTCTCATCTCTTCCAACAATTCAACTGTCTCCGGAGTTCTGTGCTGTTGATAGATATTCCAGTATGGATCAATTGAACTTCCAGCAGCTAGCAGAATCTTGTTTCCTCCTGGATGGCCTTCCACGAAGTCTGTCACATCGTAAACACCCTAGAAAAAAACCGGCACGAAATCTTTTTAAAACTCAATAAATAGTTACAACTTTTGCCACTCCAGGTTATTTTCCACAGAAAACGTTAGAGTTTCCGACGTTAGTGAAAAAAGGATCAAAAATGAACAAACCCCTTGACAAGTGACCCAGATACGCTCAGCATTTTTTCCGTGTTTCTTTACTTCGTCTATTCTGTAGGTCGGTAAATCACTTCTTTTCTCGATTTTGACGATAAAACCGCCGCCTTCCTGATCACTCGCATCGGCCGCACGTGCGGTTCGAGCTCGATACTTTAGCAACAGCCCTCCACCAACCAGCAGCACTGCACCATACTGACTCAGTCGGCACCATCGTTTTAAATGGTTCGGTGCTGGTCCTGTAATAAACTATAGTAGCTGCGCAGCTAATTCATTTGCAACTCTTTCAGTGTTGCGTTCGCCAGTATGTCGCTCACTCACCACGGCCGCCGACCTTTGGCCCATTAGCCATAGTGTGGAACTTTCGTGGCTTGCCGAGGCCACTCCTTTATGATGCACATCTTCTGGAAATGAAGACAGTCTCTGCACAAGATCACATTTATTCTCGCTTCGGGCTATTCCACTTCACACAGCAGTGAAAGGGTAACAAACCTGACACAGGTGTGACTGAATCTGAGTGTTGGTATCGACTGCTCAGCAGCATGCATCCAGAACTGCCTAAATCGGCGTGAAACACACTTGCCATTACGTGCTCGCGTTTGAGCAGATGAGATACGGCTCGGGGAATCATTTTCAGAGCGAGAAGAAAATGCGAATGGCTGAACAGCAAAACTAAATCAAGCTTCACCGACAGTGATTTTTACGTCTCACCATAATTTGGCGCAAGTGTGTCCTGTAAATAAGTGAACTCACTTATTAGCGCGACGGAAAAATATTTTTTGCACCTCTCACCATGTGCGACGAGTATTTGGTGACGGGACAAACAAACGCAAATACGCATTAGCTATTAAAGGATAAAGAGAACTTGGCTGATAAAAAAACTGACTATTCGCACGTAGGAATAGAAATTATCCAGGATATTTGTGACGCACAATGCGATCGATGATCGCGGAAGAGATAAGCAATTTAACAACAGTTATTCCGTTATCTCATCCATCTCACTACCAAACTGCAGTGATCCGCACTGCACTGACAGGTCACC